CCGTCATATTTATCAGTACCTTACGCATGCTCCACTGCTAGCTTAAAGCTCCCTTTTTTATCAGATTTCAGTTCGACTTTTTACATCATAAAAATATTTTGTACATGCTAGGACGTAAAATGTCCACGATACTCATATTCCTTTTATTATTTCCAATATCCTTTTCATTTGCTAATTCAACGCTCCCTTTTTTTATCAAACGTTAATTCAACTTTTTGCGCCAGAGAAATCTTTTGTACATACATAGAAATATCTTGTACAAAATTTAAAGATATCCATAGTATTCATATTCTCAATATCCCGTTTATTTCCGAATTACGTAACCAAAAATTTCGAAATGTATAACTATTCTGAATATAATTAAGAACTGTGCTTCTCTATGCGTCACAATTACAAACGAGTAAAGCCCAAATTTTTTTTTCCTTACATATAGCAATGAGTGGTTATATCTGCGACTAAGCATGCGGCGCTTTGTTTGGTGTCAAAATCAAAGCAGATCAACGCCTAGAAAATACTGATTTTTAACAACAAATCAAATTCACTGGAAGCAATCGCGTGAACAACGGATGCACTGATTCAAGGAAAAGTGAGTTAAAAGATTTTATTTTAAGAAGCATTTTCAGGAGGAAAGTTCCAAGTTAGCAAGCCTTCTTTTTTAATCAGATTTAAATCCGACTAAATGCCTAAGTCTGCTGTAAAGTGTAAGGCAACCATTCCCTTTGCGATACTTTCATTCAATTTTAATAGTGAATTGATACAGGCATATGCCTAGGAGTCAAACCCGTCATCAGCTGACTTCAAAGCAAACCTTCAAAATAGGCCTTACCAGCAGTAGTTACTACTGCTACCAATCAGGCTGTTTCCCAACTGAATCCGCTTCTCATATGGGGCAGACAGGAAGGGGGCTTTGTCTTTGATAAAACATATAAAAGAAATCTGATGCCTACAAAAGGAATTTTACGTGAAATAGTTCCTAGCTGAAAAACCGGGAAAAAAGTTGTACTAAAGCATACAATCTTCTCTATTAGAAAATGTTAGAATATGCGATAAT